AAAAAAAAAAAAAAAATAAAATAAAATAATTTTTTTTAATTATAAAAGTAATACCTAGGGGTGCCTGGGTGGCTCAGTCGGTTGAGCGACCGACTTCAGCTCAGGTCATGATCTCACGGTTTGTGAGTTCGAGGCCCGCATCGGGCTCTGTGCTGACAGCTCGGAGCCTGGAGCCTGCTTCAGATTCGGTCTCCCTCTCTCTCTGCCCCTCCCCCACTCATGCTTTGTCTGTCTCTGTCTCAGAGATAAATAAACATTAAAAAAAAAAGTAATACCTAAAAAAATAGTAAGTGCTCATTTAAAAAGAAAAAAACGACTCTTCCAACGATACCTGGTGTGTATATGAATATTGATGGATGTGTTTTTAAAATAATTTTTTTTTTTTAATTATAAAAGTAATACCTAGGGGCGCCTGGGTGGCTCAGTCGGTTGAGCGACCGACTTCAGCTCAGCTCATGATCTCACAGCTTGTGAGTTTGAGATCCATGTGAGGCTCTATGCTGACAGCTCAGAACCCGGAGCCTGCTTTGGAGTCTGTGTCTCCCTCTCTCTCTGCCCCTCCCCTGCTCGCACTCTGTCTCTGTCTCTCTTTCTCTCTCAAAAATAAATAGTAAACATTAAAAAAAAAAATTAAAAAAACAAACAACTCCTACTTGGAAGCAAGGAAACAAAGTCCATGATTGCACAGAGTGGGGATTACTGATATTAACATTTGTGCTTTTCTTTTTTTCTATTTATTTATGGATAGCTATAGGCTTTGCATTTCTATTAAAAAATACTGGATACAGGGGCGCCTAGGTGGCTCAGTCGGTTAAGTGCCTGACTCTTGATTTCCGCTCAGGTCATGATCTTGAACACCTAAAGCTCTCTTTATGGTCTGCTTTACATTTATGATAAATTAAGTGGAGCTCTTTACACATAAACCCACCAACATTTCCTTTTGGGGTTGATAACCCTTCTGTTGCCTGGATGAGGGGTAGAATCCTAGTCAACTAGTTCACTATTCCTTGACCTGGCCAGAGTTTTAAAATAATCTGTGAGGATGGGGCACCTGGATGACTTGAGTTGGTTGGGCATCCGACTTCAGCTCAGGTGATGATCCCGCAGTTCACAGGTTCAGGCCCCGAGTCGGGCTCTGTGCGGACAGCTCGGAGCCTGCAGCCTGCCTCGGATTCTGTGTCTCCCTCTCTCTCTGCCCCTCCTCTACTCACCTCTGTCTCTCTCTTTCCCTCTCAAAAACAAACATTAAAACAAAACAAAACAAAATTATCTGTGGGGATTTCTTGAGACCTGGGTTAAAGACAGGCTTTTCCAGACAGTTTGCATTTCTACTGCCCTCTGTAGGTAATCCAGTTTTCAGGCTTCCCGGGAGGTTGAGGGCAGACTGGCTACAGACTGTCAGAGTCTGAGACAATTTCTCCAGGTCCTGGAGGCTGGAGGCCCTGGATGTCCCAGCCTTCAGTCCCATGGGTGGGGCTCCTGGCAGGCCCCTACTTGGGTGGACAGACTTTGTCCCACTGGGTTTTGTCCTGGAGACTCAGTTCTCCAGTTGTGGCAAATGCCTTAGGCAAGAGCTGACTTCAGAGCTCTGTTTACCTGCCTCTCTGGGTACCTGCTTTCACTTCATGTTTACCGGCTGTGCGACCTAGTTGAAAACTGAACACATGTTCGTTAGAGCTGGTACAACATTTTTAGCTTTCTTAATGAGCAGGAATGCTGGAGTTCCTTGTCTTCCAGACTACAGGAAGTGGCTCTCTTGTTTTTATTATAAAACCTTTTTTTCCTGTTGGTTATAGAGTATGTTCATTGTCGAAAATCATAGGAATAAATTTAAAAGTTGACCACAATTGGGGCACTGGGGTGATTCTGTTAAGTGTCCGACTTCGGCTCGGGTCATGATCTCATGGTTCGTGGGTTTGAGTCCCATGTTGGGCTCTGTGCTGACAGCTCAGAGCCTGGAGCCTGCTTCGGATTCTTTGTCTCTCTTTCTTTCTCTCTCTCTCTCTGCCCCTCCCCCGCTTATGCTCTGTTTCTCTCAAAAGAAAAAAAAAATCAGCCACAATTTTATTTTTCAGAAACAAAAAGTTAGCATTTTATTACTCTATAACCATTCCTATGCATAATTTTAAAAAATGTTTATTTGTTTGTTTTGAGAGCGAGAGAGAGAGGAGGGGCAGGGCAGAGAGAGGGAGAGACAGAATCCCAAGCAGGCTCCGGACTCTAAGCTGTCAGCACAGAGCCCAATGTGGGGCTTGAACTCATGAACTGTGAGATCATGACCTATGCTGAAGTCAAGAGTTGGACCCTTAACTGACTGGGCCACCCAGGTGCTCCTATGCATAATTTTTTAAAAAGTTGAGATGACCAGAAAGCAACAGTCCTGGATTATATTTTTATTAAATAGTTCCCTACAGAAGCACTTTCGGATGGCTCTGGTTTAATGTTTTGCTTTATACTTTTGTTGTGGGTAGGCATAAGAAAAGACCCCTTGAAAACTTCTACATTTGCTGGGGCGCCTGGGTGGCGCAGTCGGTTAAGCGTCCGACTTCAGCCAGGTCACGATCTCGCGGTCCGTGAGTTCGAGCCCCGCGTCAGGCTCTGGGCTGATGGCTCGGAGCCTGGAGCCTGTTTCCGATTCTGTGTCTCCCTCTCTCTCTGCCCCGCCCCTGTTCATGCTCTGTCTCTCTCTGTCCCAAAAAAAATAAATAAAAACGTTGAAAAAAAAAAAAAAAAAGAAAACTTCTACATTTGCTACAAGGCAAGTAGATGTTATAACATGGAATATTACTCCGTACACCATTTTTAAGGATCCTTTTAGTAAATTTCCCAGAATTCAGGGCCAGGCATTTATGTCAATTGACCTGCATTTGCGAATCTCCCCTTACAAGCCTGGGGGAGGGCTCATTCTCCCTCTGCCTCCTGTTCTCCCCTTCCTACTCTGTTCCCCAGGGTAGTTTTCCTAACGGTCAAACGCATGGCAGTTACAATATTTATCTCATCTTTGGTTTTAAGAACAGTGGTTTTCCACCATGGCTTTCACTCTCTTTTAAAAGTTTTGTTTTACTATTCTCAATTTTTTTAAGTGTTATCACACTCTAACCCAATACACCTCTTTGGAAATAGCACGGTCTCCGTTATCAAGAAGCGGCCCTTAAAAATCACTGCAGGTAAGTAAGCTACTTAGCACTGGGAGTCCAGCCCCCATCTTGTCCCCACAGGAGATGCTGTCAGTATCCTGAATCTGTTAGGACAGAGCGACTGGCTGGAGTGGACAATGATTAGGCCCATATGCTCTTTCAGAACAAGATTAACAGAATACAGGTCAAGGTGCGTATATGCAACCAGTAGAAAAAAAAAGAGTGAATCTCAGGTGTACATGAGGAAAGTCACCACAAAGGCCTGGTTAACCGAATAGGAGAGCACTCAAAAATAATTTTCATGAAACCAAGCTTGGTAATCACTGTGCCTTTTTTTTTTTTTTTTAATAGAGTCTACTGATCATATTGTTCCCTTTCACAGCTGCTTCCATGTTTTTTAGTTAAAACCCAGTGTGATTGCTGAGAACATTGTTATATATATGAGACGTGTGTGTTCTTGGTGACTAACTTGGTCTTATGAGCCATCGAGGTCCGTAGAATATGAAAGCCATGTAATCAGTTTTCCAAAAGATAATGGACGTGTTTCATTTGTAGGGAAAAAAGATACAATTTTATATTTGAAATGTTTTCATTGGCTAATCACAATGGATATTTATTTATTTATTTATTTATTTATTTTGTGTTTATTTGAGAGAAAGGGCAGGAACAAGGAAGCGGCAGAGAAAGGGAGACAGAGAATCCCAAGCAGGCTCTGCACTGTTCGTGAGATGCCTGACGCGGGGCACGAACCCACAAACCATGAGATCATGACCTGAGCCGAAATCAGGAGTCAGACGCTTAACCAACTGAGCCACCCAGGTGCCCCTGGATTTTTAGAATTAGATTATAATAAAACAAAACCTTACTTATCCAGTCAGTCTAAGTACTACAACACACACACACACACACACACACACACACACACACACACGCTAACGTTGTAAGATGGAAGGCAAGTAAGAATGAGAATATCAAATCAGAATGTTAGGATAAGGCTTCTATTTAAATAATTATTTTCCTTTTCTCTTCGGTGGGCGAAGACGACTTGGAGTTTACCACAGTTACTTTAGAATCTCCAAAAGCATTGCTGGCCGAGGCCTGACCGGGAGGCGGATGGTGCGCCATGCCTTCTGCGGTCTCCTCGGCCCCCCTGGGGGCAGCCGTGCTGGTCGGGTCATGTTTAAAGGCACAGCCTGACCCGAACAGTTCCTCCATGAGACTGCTTTTCTTCTCGCTGAAAGTGTCTTTTGCTTTGGGTCGGGAAGACTTGCCGAAAGAGGGTTCGTACCCGCTCACAGAACGTTCTGGTTTCGGTCCCTCCGCGAGCCCGTGGGCCTTGCCTGCGCCGGCCGGCCCCCCTGACGCGGGCAGGCCCAGATGCAGGTTCTCAGTGGCTTCCGTGAACAAGTAATGCTTTCTCTGCCGGAAGGGTATTTTGACGTTTGCAGCTGCGTTTTTCTTGGGCCCCTCACCCGCGTCACTGACTTGCAGACTTCTGAACTCTTCCTTCACTGTGTCGTCTTCCCGCGTGTCCTCCCTGTCAGGGTGAGTCTCTTGAATTCTCTTTGGTGGCACTTCTTGTTCTTCGGGCACTAAAGTGGTTTTCTTCTCTTGATCTTTTTTCTCCCTTTGTATCTCAGGGTTCTCTGGAGGTGCCCGTACTTCCAAATGGTCCTCTTCCTTTGATAAATCTGTATGCGAAAAAGAGTCTGTTTAGTGATCGTTATTATTTTAAATGTGTAGTTATTATTTTTGAGAGAGAGAGACAGTATGGGGGGGCAGTGCAGACAGAGAGGGAGACACAGAATCCGAAGCAGGCTCCAGGCTCTGAGCTGTCAGCACAGAGCCCGACGCGGGGCTCGAACGCACGGACCGTGAGATTGTGACCTGAGCTGAAGTCGGTTGTTCAACTGACTGAACCGCTCAGGTGCCCCGATACCTCACCCTTTCTCAGGGAGAGGTCCCCATTCTAATATTCTTATATTTAGATGACTCTCACATAGAGTTCTGCAACTGAGGTCTTTCTTTTAGTTTCTACACCACCAGGTTGACTTGCTCGTGAGACATACCCACCTGGAGACCCTGTGGGATCCTCAAAGTGGACAATTTCAAGATGGAACTCATCACCCCCATGCTGTGTGGGCTAACTATTCCCCACCTGCCCCCACGGAGCTTCCCTACGTCCCCGTAGAATGGCTCTTATGGATGCACCTGCATCCACCTCTCACGTGCTCTGGCTTCCTGCTGGGTTGGGCTCATGGGAGGCACTGGCAGGAGACTGAAGGGCAGGTGGAAGATGGACTCTTCCTGTAGGCCCCGGGCGGAGCTGAAATGGACCGAGCTCTTCCTGCCACCATACTCTCGTTCAGTGGTTCTGTCCAATTTTCTCCCTTTGCACCTTGAGGCTCAGGGTGATGGCTCCAGCTGTTCCCCTGCCCCGGGGTGCCTCCGCATCCGTGGCTGGTCTCCCCTGGCCTATCCCGTGCCTCCAGAATCTTCTAACCCTCCTCTGTCCGTCCCACCACGTGTGCTTCCTGTCTCCCGAAGACCCCGACACATACCTCTCCCGTGTGTGCCTTCCCTTTACTGACTCCACGGACGGCATCAACTCATGGTCAGAACCCCAAGCCAGAAGCCGGAGACATGCTTGTCTCTTTCCCTCACCCCGCTGCCAGTAGACCCCCAGTGCCATAACCTTTTCCTCATAGGTTGTCCTCATGGTCCCCTTTGGCCTAACAGAACCGTTCAAGTTGTGGGACGAAATGAATTTGCCACCGCGAGGTAGTCAGCCGCGTCACCTGCACTTTGGCAGAGACCCAAAGGCAGGCAGGGGAGTAGGAAAGCTTCGGCCGGAGAAAAGGAAGGGCTGCAGGCGGGCCCTGATGGGGGCGATAGGCCTGGAAGAGCCATGGGCAGCTGGCAGTGGGGCCCCCTCAGCGATCGATTAATCAGGGGGTACGGATTCGCCTTTGTCTGGTTGCCGCCAAGACGACAGAAGAACCAAAAACCAGGGAGGCGGCAGGTTATCCGTCGAATCCCGGCCATTCTGGGCCAGCGGTTAGGGAAGTCCTCGCTTGGCCGCCTGGGTCGTTCCTAGAGGTGCCGTGTGACGTCCAGCCGGCTGGCGTCCTGGGCTGCGGATTGTACCTGCCCGGCGGGAGAGGGTTTCCGGGGCCGGCCTGCTGCAGCCTGTGGGTGGGCTTCTATTTTTGTCTGCGGTCTGGCCATTTGCATCTTCAGTCTCTCGGGGTCATTGCCAGTTTTTACTAAACAGCGGCCCCAGAGCTGTTACGTTCCTGGTTATAAAGATAATATATCCTCCCGGAGAACAGTTTAAGCCACCCAGGAAAGTATACGGTATAAAGAAGAGGGCAAAAACCTCACCCCGGGTTCTTCCCGCAAGCCGTAGGCACCGTTAACCTTTTCTTTTCTTTTTGTAAAAAATTTTTTAATGTTTATTTATTTTTGAGAGAGAGCAAGAGAGAGAGAGAGACAGAGCATGAGCGGGGGAGGGGCAGAGAGAGCGAGAGAGGGAGACACAGAATCCGAAGCAGGCTCCAGGCTCTGAGCCATCAGCCCAGAGCCCGATGTGGGGCTCGAACCCACAAACTGTGAGATCAGACCCACTGAGCCACCCGGGCGCCCCTGTTTGGTGATGTTTAAATCCAGTCGGTTTCTATTTCAAGGTGGCACGTGTAGCACACTTACTGACATCTCCCGACAGGCACATGAAAGGGACAACGAGAGGTGAGAAACCAAACGCATCCAACATTAGAACACAGGGGAAGGTGCCGACAACGAGCCTGAAATGCTCGGCTTTCCTAGAACATACCGGGTAAATAGATTTATGAACCCAAATTATGAAAGAAGAAGTAACATTTGCTAAGAAATCATCAGCGGATGTTCATCATTACCAGCTGGGTGTGGTACCAGTTAAAACAACGAGAGCATTTTTCACCCATCCAAATGGACAAGTGATTTCCAGGTTCGGTGAGAATACAGGGAAATTGGAACTTCCGGGTCCCCGTTGGTGGGTGTGTCAATGGTACAGCGTTTTCTGGATGGCGACATGGTCAACAGGTTTGCTTCTAGGACCGAATGCGATAAACACACACCCAGCATGTGTACTGCGGCACGGTTTGGTAATGGCGAAGCGTCCCAGGTGTCTGTCGAGGGGTCATGGTTACAGAAATCATAGCACGTGCCGTCGAGGGGGTTCCGGGCAGTGGTTACAGAGAATGGGCTGTGTACACGTGAGCTGACGGGGAAGGACGTTCACAGTGTGTTGTTAATGAAAAAGCCACTTGAAGGTGAACTTCCCCGGTCCTTCCCCGGGCACTCCGGAGGCCCTGCCCTCTGCCTCCCGAGGATGGGCCGCCCCACCACCTGGTTACTGACCGGCCGCCCATTTGGGAGGGACGATGGGGACAGTGGCATGCGTGCACAGAGTTGGAGGATTTTCTCGCATGAACACACAGAAATAAAATTACTCATTTTAATCCAGGGAACTAGGAATTCTAGCAAGAGAAGTTGTTTTAAGAATTCGTGGTGAGGGAAGAAGCCAGCAGACTCTAGTTAATTCTAAATGACTGTTAGCTGTGCCCTGTGATACTTGATGCAGATGTGAACGAGTTGGGGGAGACTGCTCATTTTGCACCTCTGATGTTCCCAGCCCTGGTCTGTCACCTTCCCTGGTCCCTCCTTGACTCGAATCCTGGCACGGCTCCCCGTCTCCCCCCCGGAGAGAAGGCCCGTGTGCCCAGCACGCTACAAAGCTGTACCACATCTGGCCTCCCCTCCCCTCTCTTCAGCTCCCCCCACCCCCACCCCATGACATCTGTCCTCCGGGCCATGGGGTCTTGGCCTGGAATGCTCTTCTCGGGGGTCCGCGTGGCTGGCCCCTTCCCCCCGCCCCACCGCAGCTGCCCTTCCCTACCCTCCTCTGTTCTACTTGTCTTCCCACCCTCACTTCATGCCCTCAACCTACTGCACACCTTACTTGTTTTACCCAGTGTCTGTCTGTCTGCGCTGGAGCGGACACATGTGCGGGCAGGGTGGTTTGTCTTCATCGCTGTACCCCCAGTGCCCAGGGCAGTACTCAGGGCACAGTATATGCTCAATGAACATCCATCAAATGAACGGATGAAGTTTCTAGGAGAATACGAATTACAAACGGACTAAAGGACAAGTGAAAAACTTAGACCAGTGACCCCAGGAGGAGGTGAAAATGGAGTTGTTGGCTTCTGCCCACTGCACCAGACACGGTGGCTTTGCAGGTGAGTCGTGCCAAGCCTTTGTGTTATTGAAACGTGTTCTAGGGGCGCCTGGGTGGCTCAGTCAGTCAAGCATCCGACTTCAGCTCAGGTCATGATCTCACAGTTCGTGAACTTGAGCCTCGCATCAGGCTCTGTGCTGACACCTCGGCCTGGAACCTGTTTTGGATTCTGTGTCTCCCTTTCTCTCTGCCCCTCTCCCAATCATGCTGTCTCTCTTTCTTTCTCTCTCAAAAATAAATAAACATTAAAAAAAAAAAAAAAGAAACATTCTAAAGCCAGTCTGGCCCCACACCAAAGGTGTGGCCCCTCCAGAGCCTCTCCTGAAGCCCCCCACTCTGCCGAGGGGGAGCAGGTGACCCGGGGCCCTGGGGGACAGTTCTCTCACGGCGATTGTGCTCACACGGCCGTGAGGGACTCCGCATTCCCCTGCAGCAATAATGTGGCATGCACGCAGTGGGGCAGTGCCTTTAAAATTCTGGAGGGAAATCATCTCTAGCCTAGAAGTTTCTTTCTAGCCAGTTATTAATCAGGTACGAGGGCAGAATCACATCTCCAGGTGAAGGTAAACACATTTCCCCCACATGCACCCATTCCCAAGATGTGGCTCTCAGAGATGATGGCACTGGCCGAGGAGGAGGAGGACGCGGTTTAAGAACAAGACCTAGCAGAGGAGGGGGTGACAGGAGCCTGCAGGGGACGGGAGGTCCCAGCACGATAGCTGCACGCCAGAGGCAGAGGGCGACCAGCCCGGACGCAAAGAGGCTGAAGCATCAAGGGCTGGTGTCACTGGGATCCCTGCTCTGCAAAGCTCCCAGGCCCCCGATGTCCTTGGCCTGTCCTGCCCGTGGCCCGATGAAGGTGCTGCCCTCTCCATCGTGAACGGCAGCCTGGGTCGGCTGGGGACTCTCATTCCACCCCCCAGGAGCATTCTGCTGGGACCTCCCCCCAGGAGCTGGAGGTGAGTGTGCTGATCTTAGCACAGGGAATTCGGACTGGCCCTGTCCCGGAGTGTAGACACCACGGCTCCGGTGCTCCCCAGCCTCCCAGGGAGCTGCATGGCCTCCTCGGTGCTCCCGGAGGAGCATCCTGGGAGGCTGAAGCCAGTCTGTGCATCTCCTCCTGGAGTCTTTATGTCAAGTCTTCGTTAACGGGAGCGTCGCCCTCTACGCAGCTGGGTTTGGGTTTGCTACTCAGTTTATCAGAACGGAACATACTGTTTAAAGATGTGTACGAGGACAGGACATGGGGAGGAACAGCAAGGGAGTGACCGGCAGCAAACTGAACATGTTGGTTGTTTTCTGGTGGGCGGGGGGCGGGGAAGTGCTTAGGAAGGGCCCACGCGTGTCCTGGGCAACACTAACGTCCTAGCTCTTTTTAAATTAAAAAGAAAAAAAAATTTTTTTATTTAAAAAAAATTTTTTTTTCAACGTTTTTATTTATTTTTGGGACAGAGAGAGACAGAGCATGAACAGGGGAGGGGCAGAGAGAGAGGGAGACACAGAATCGGAAACAGGCTCCAGGCTCTGAGCCATCAGCCCAGAGCCTGACGCGGGGCTCGAACTCACGGACTGCGAGATCGTGACCTGGCTGAAGTCGGACGCTTAACCGACTGCACCACCCAGGCGCCCCAAAAAAATTTTTTTTATTTTGGAGAGAGCGAGTAAGGGAGGGTGGCAGAAGGGGAGAGAGAGAAAGAATCTCAACAGGCTCCACGCTCAGCACGGACCCCCACGTGGGGCTCCATCCCACGACCCCAGGATCATGACCGTAGCTGAAATCAGGAGTTGGATGCTCGACCAACGGAGATGCCCAGGTGCCCCCAAATGACCTAGTTCTTAAGCAGGAGAATGGCCACATAGGTGTTCATTTCATAATAATTCTTTATGTTGTATGATTTTTCCCCCCTAATTTTTGGGAAGGTGCAAGCAGGGGAGGGGCAGAGAGAGGGGGACAGAGGATCCTAAGCAGGCTTTGCACTGACAGGCTGACAGCAGCGAGCCCGATGTGGGGCTTGAACTCACAAACTGCGAGATCATGACCTGAGCTGAATGAAGTCAGATGCTCAACTGACTGAGCCACCCAGGCACCCCTGTATGTATGTGTTTTATGTGTGCTTTCACACACACACACACACACACACAGAGTAATTCACACCTTAAAAAGATCAGGTAAGAGTAAAGGACACTTGTAAAAGCAGTTAAAATTACCTTCGTATTTTTTCTTGGACTCCTCTTGGTTTGGTAGTTTGCTGATACAGGGAGGAACCGCACAGGTCATTCCGGTGGATTTTTCTTTATGACCAACGTTTCCAGTTGTCTTTTTACCCTATAATTTAGGAAAGCAGCAAAAAAAAAAAAAAAACAAAAAAAAACCCATTTTTTTGGGTACAGATAGTTTTAAATTGTATTTTATTCACTGAATACGAATACTTTCTGTGTAGAGTAAGAGACTGTTCATAGTCTATTTTTGTAAATAGACACTGCAAGAATTCAAATTTGTTGTACCTTAGTTGTCAAAGATGGAACATCTTCTGATTTTTGGGTTTCCTGGTGTTTCATGCTTGTAAACAAAAAACTTCTGTCTGCTTGTACGGATTTTGTTGAAGAAACTGCAGAACAGGTACATTATGTGTAAGGAACATATTTTACATGTGGGTGCAATATTGACTTTACAGAGAAAATAACACATTTGTTGTGTAAAACAAAGTATACCAGATATTAAAATTTTTTCTTCCAATGTATGTTTAACATTTGCCAGTTTCCTTTCTTCCCTATCATTTTGCCTGTTTTGTCTCATTTTGGGGCCACCAAGGTTGCACAAATCACAGTGTTCGGCTCCAGAGCGAGGAGGCTTTAGGCTAGGTCCACGTTGCTCTGGGAGGACCCGCTGTCCCCGCCACAGACACACAGTCGTGAGGGAGTGAGTCACAGGGACGTCCTGCGTCAGTGCTCTTGGTAACCAGCGGTTAGATCGTCCACCGCTAAATCTATACCTCACTTTCCTCAAAGTGTTATCCCATCTAAATGGCCCCATGGCTGGTATGATCATCTCTGCTGGCTGTTGTTCTGGATTACACAGCAGAAGCAAACAAAGGAAGGCAAGAAAATGTCAAGGTTGTTGCCTTTATTTATGTATTTATTTAAAGCAGGCTCCACACCCAGGATGGAGCCCAGTGCAGGGCTTGAACTCATGACCTTGAGATGGCGACCTGAGCTGAGATCAAGAGTCAGGTGCTTAACCAGCGGAGCCACCCCGGTGCCCCTGAAATTACTGCCTTTAAAAGTGAGCACGTAGTGACTTTTTCTACCAAAACAGGGTGTTTCTGTTGTACCTCTTCTGAGCCAAGCCTGATGCTGGCAGATCTGGGGGGTGGCGGTGGGGGTGGGGGGAATAAGTACACCCCATCTTGAAGGAAAAGTACTACTCAGCAATGAAGAGGGACACACGGATGATGGCAGCAGCAGCATGGGTGAGTCTCCAAAGTATTAGGCTGGACACGAGAAGCCGACCGAATAGCACGTGCTGTGTGATCCCACCTACGGGAAACTTGAGAACAGGTAAACGAAGCTGCTGTGACAAGGGAAATCAGTGGTTGTCCCAGGGACAAGGACAGGGACTCGTGATGGCAGGGGGCGCGTGGGTGGCCTCCTGAGCAGGGAGAGGTTCTGCATGGACTATGGTCAAAACCTGCTGAATTGCATACTTAAAATGGGTGCATTTTGGGGCATCTGGGAGGCTCAGTCAGTTGAATGTCCGACTCGGTTTCAGCTCAGGTCATGATCTCATGGTTCGTGGGATCGAGCCCCACGTGGGGCCCTGTGCTGGCAGTGCGGAGCCTGCTTGGGATTCTCTTTCTCTCTCTCTTTCCCCCCCTCTCCCTCCCTCCCTCGCTCTCTGCCACTCCCCTGCTTGGTCTGTCTCTGTAAAATATATGTGTATATATATATATAATATATATATAAATATATATATTTAATATATATAAATATATACAAATATAAAATATATAAAATATATTAATAAAATAAATTATAAATTAATAATTTATATAAATACATATAAACATATTTAAAATATATAATATAATATATATTATAATTTATATAATACATTATATAATTATAATCATAATTATATATATTATAATAATATAATATAATATAATATATATATTATATATACTATAATTATATAAAATATATATTATCTATCTATATTAAAAAAAAACAAGCCACACACTAAGAGATGCGCTTGGAAAGTTCGCTCTCTGCCAGACACTCTCCTCCAGGCCGGAAGGTGGCCCTCTCACTCCGCCTGCAGAAAGGGCACGCGGGACTGAGCAGAGGCTGGGAGGACCAGGGAGCACGTGCAGTCCCTCCTACCCGTTCCCCCATGTCGCAGCTCATTGTTCTTCTGGAATCACAAAATGTTTCAATGCCTAATAAACTGATGTTTTTAAAATACCCATCATTTCCGTGATATAAAGTAGGAACATAGGACTACATACTTACAAGTCGATTTTGAGCAAAAATAAAGCGTACCTGTCGGATAATCTTTGTCATGTAAATTTTTAAGTATCCGATTCGCATAGATGTTCCTGATTTCAAGCTCTCGGCCCTTCTCCTAAAGAGAACCACAAAACCAATCTCTCTATAAAGACTTGCTTTTAGCAGCCTGGGTTTCTTCTATAAAACACGTTGAGCAAGCTCAGCATTCTTTGAATAAACCCTGTAGGTGCTGGCAGGAGCAGAAATAGGCCATATCCTTCTAGATCATCCCTGACACCAAAGAGTACCTTGAAACAGCAACAAACCATTGCGACGGGGACAGTGCTGCTGAGGGGTTTGCAAGGCAGCGGCCCTCACTGCAGGTTCTGTCCCCCGGGTCTGCGCCGTGAAGTTTGCTGGCCTTTCTCGTGGTCCAGGACAGCCACTAGCCACGCTGTGGTCTAAACTAATTAAAATGAAATGCACCGTTCAGTCCCCCGTGGCACTGCCCACATTTCCAGTGCTCAGCGCGGCACATCTCTGGTGGCCACACGACTGCACGGTGTGGTAGAACATTCCCACGTGGCACGAGGTTCGATGAGACCGGCCTGTGTTTCGACAGTACGAGTGCAGGGTGGGTGAAGCCTAGAACAAAGGCACCACTGTTCAGCTTTAAATGTCAGGATTGACTTTTTAAAGTCTTGGCAAAACAGGGGTGCCGTGTGGCTCCGTCAGTTAAGCGCCCGACTTCGGCTCAGGTCATGATCTCACGGCTCGTGAGTTCGAGCCCCGCGTCGGGCTCTGTGCCGACAGCTCGGAGCCTGGAGCCTGTTTCGGATTCTGTGTCTCCCCTCTCTTCCTGCCCCTCCCCTGCTCATGCTCTGTTTCTCTCAAAAATTAATAAACATTAAAAACTTTTTTTTAAAGTCTTGACAAAAGTTTTGAAATCCTGGCTTGTTGAGGGAAAAAAAAAGATTGCATTAAGCACCAAACACTCCTCTTACACATGCACCAAGAGGCCAGCCTGTTAGATTCAAGACCACTGAGTTTTAGTCAAAGCCACAGTCAAAAGGAGTGGGCACTGGGCACTGATTAAAATAAGTACAGGGGCGCCTGGGTGGCTCAGTCGCTTAAGGGTTGGACTTCGGCTCAGGTCATAATCTCATGGGTCCGTGAGATTGAGCCCCAAGTCAGGCTCTGCACATCAGTGCAGAGATTCTCTTGGGATTCTCTCTCTCTCTCTCTCTCTCTCTCTCTCTCTGTCTCTCTCTCTGCCCCTCCCTCACTTATGCACTCGTGCTCCATCAAAATAAATAAACATTAAAAATGGAATCAGTACAAAACCTGCCCATTCCAACTCAGATGTGCACAAATATGTAACATTTTTAGTTTCCATAACTGACCCATACTTCCTTATGAGCCCCGTTCCCACAAGTTGGAGGTGCGGACAGGGATGGCCACGGAGACTAGTCAGAAGCTTGTCTCAGTCTGTTCTAATCAAAACTGGCCCCATTTTAGGTTGTCTCTGAGACTTACAGCGTCTCTTGGTGGAGACAGCATCTAGCGTTAAGAGGGGGTGCACACCGTTACCCTGTTGGTAAAAGGAGAAAGAGTCCCCTGACCCTCTGGAACCTCTTGCCCTTGTCTGAGGAGTGACTGGTCCTAACTAGTGGGGTGCCCGGGACCTGTGTGGCAGGTACTGAACGTGGCCGGTGACGCTCATGGCCTCTGCTCCGTAGGTCAAATCTCGGCCATCTTTGCTTGTTGTCTGTCGATGCCAATGCCTTGAGGTGCCATCGGATCCTTGGCTCGACGGTCGGTCCCAGAGCCTGTGCTGTGGGATCACCTGGGTCAGTAACGTTGAAGACTCGGAAGCAGGCTCCCTGGCTCTCGCTCTTCCCTCTGCTCCCGTCCCCTCTCTGGGTCTCACTCCTTGTGCAAGTGAGTGAAGTGCTCTCTTTGGCCCTTTGCCTGGATGGCGTGTCTGTCCTTTCAACTTACCACTGGCAATGCATTACTACTCTGGCTCCACGCTGAAGGGGGGCTTGACAGTGGGCTTTGAATGTCCCAGGCCACACCAAGGCCTCCTGCGCTGAGACTTTTCCAAACCTCAGAGTTGTTTCTTCACCTTCCTAATATCCCTGAGGGGCACAGGGAGCCCAGAACCCCATCTGATTCTCTCTCTCTCTCCCTTCCTCCTATCTCTACCCTCCTTCTCTGGGCACCTTCCCCTGACCCTTTCTGTCTAACCATACAGAAGACAGCCTTAACTCATATATACCCACTCCGTTTTTGTGTTTTTAAAGGGATGGGGGAGAGGGGCAGAGGGAGAGAGTCCTAAGCAGGCCCCAAACTCAGGGCAGAGCCTGACACGGGGCTCGATCTCACGACCCTGGGATCATGACCTGAGCTGAAATCAAGAGTCCGATGCTTAATTGGCTGAGGCACCCAGGCACCAGTGCCCACTCCTTTTGACTGTGGCTTTGACTAAAACTCAGTGGTCTTGAGTCTAACAGGCTGGCCTCTTGGTGCATGTGTAAGAGGAGTGTTTGGTGCTTAATGCAATCTTTTTTTTTCCCTCAACAAGCCAGGATTTCAAAACTTTGTCAAGACTTTAAAAAAAAGTTTTTAATGTTTATTAATTTTTGAGAGAAACAGAGCATGAGCAGGGGAGGGGCAGAAAGAGAGGGGAGACACAGAATCCGAAACAGGCTCCAGGCTCCGAGCTGTCAGCACAGAGCCCGAAGCCTTCTTCCGATTCTGTGTCTCCCTCTCTCTCTGCTCCTCCCGTGCTTGCACTCTGTCTCTCTCTCCCTCTCAAAAATAAACATTAAAAAAATTTAAAAATTAATTTATTATCAGAGTACATAAATGGATACAATATGAGAATATTAGCCTTTTCTAGAATTTAAGTTTCTAGGAGCAAAAATATCAGTATATTTCTCTTCTTCTTTCTTTTCTTGTAATAACACCTCACTTAGCAAGAAAGAACGGTAATGGTGACAGTTTATTACCTGAAGGTGGCCAAGTTTATTCTGGATATTATGTTTTTTTAAATTTTTTAAAATGTTTATTTTTGACAGAGAGAGAGAGACAGAGCATGAATGGGGAGGGTCAGAGAGAGAGGGAGACACAGAATCTGAAACAGGCTCCAGGCTCTGAGCTGTCAGCACAGAACCCGACATGGGGCTTGAACTCACGACCTGTGAGATCATGACCTGAGCTGAAGTCGGACACTCAACCGACTGAGCCACCCAGGCACTCCTGGATATTATCTTTAAGAAGAATATAGTGTAGGACATCTTAGAAAGTTTTTTTTTTACCCCCCACTGGTTAAGACAAGAAAGATTTTGATGTTTAGAGGGGCAAGCGTTGATTGGAAAATCCAGTTACTTATTTTGATTCAGGCTGGTTCCTTGGAGGGTCTAGCATGTGCATCAGCAGCAGAGAGCAGGAAGAAGGCAGATAAGAAATGCTGGCTGACGGGTGACAGGTGCAGGGCTGGCTGGGGGCAAAAGGGAAGGACAGTCCTCCCTCAGGCCTGGAACAAAGGTTCAAGTCTGGATGCTGTCCACAGACCTGGGTCCAAGATCAAAGACAACAGGTTCAGAACACAATCCAGGATACTTGTGTAGTTGAGGTCAGTCAGTTAAGAGAAAAAATACTGGGGCGCCTGGGTGGCTCAGTCGGTTAAGCGTCTGACTCTTGATTTTGGTTCAGGTCATGGTCTCGCGGTTCATGAGTTCGAGCCCCAACAGGGCTCTGCGCTGACAGTGTGGAACCTGCTTGGAATTCTGTCTGCCCTTCTGCTGGTGTGCGATAAATAAACATTAAAAAAAAAACAACAACAATAAGAAAAATCCACATGTAGGAATGCTCATGGCATGTTTGTGGAATATTCATAGGAAAGAGGACTCACCAGCTCCAAGGTTATCAGGTCAGAGTTCGGTGGAGGTTGGGTCATGGTGGGGAACCATGTTAAAAGAGCAGGGCAGATGGCTTCCAAAAGACAGAAAACAATGTCTACACAGACAGTGCCACTTTGGCAGGGGTGAGCTTGTAGCCTGGATGCTGGGTAGAGTTGCAGTACCTCATTTGGGAGCCGCGGAGGACTGATATTTATCCCTTTACTTTGGCCCACTTTCTGGAAAGAGAGCAGTGTCTAGAACTGGTGTTGGATGACTTCGAAAATGAGTTTCAGAGTACCAAAACAGAAACTTTGATCTTTGGAACCGTGCCTTCCCGAGGTCAGGTGCTAGTGATTTATGTTAATGTGGCAGATTGCATTTTCTCAGAATTGCTTCAGCAGTATTTCCGGTCCCATATGCTCTTCTGGAAACTTGTGACTCCCCATGAAGAGGTAGAATCTATTGCTCCTCCCATGGTGCCGCCTTGACAAAGGGAATGGGGTGGAAGAGATGCTGTGTGACTGGTTCTCTTTCTGTCTGTATCTCCCCACTCTGCTCCTTGGAACCTGGCTGCCATGTTGTGAGGAAGCCCACACCACATGGGGAGGCCACATGTGGGCAGTTCTGGCCAACACCCCAGTTGCCGTCTCAGCTGTTGGTTGACACCAACTGCAGACATACGTGCGAGACTTTAGAGCACTCCAGCCCCAGCCTTTGAACCACCTTAGTTGATGTCGAGGGTGGCAGAGATGGGCTAACCCTGGCAAGCCCTGCCAGATTGTGGATTCGTGAGCAAAATTAATATTGTCATTTCTTTCTTTTTTTTTTTTTTTTTTTTTAATTTTTTAACGTTTAACAGAGCATGAACAGGGAAGGGGCAGAGAGAGAGGGAGACACAGAATCGGAAGCAGACTCCAGACTCTGAGCTGTCAGCACAGAGCCCAACACAGGGCTCGAACTCATAAACCGCAAGATCATGACCTGAGCCAAAGTCGGACGCTTCACCAACTAAGCCACCCAGGCGCCCTAGTATTGTCATTTCTTAAGCCACTAAGTTGTGGAGTAATATCTTATGCAACCATAGTGATTGGAACAGCCAGGTTACTAACACATCCTTAAAGGTTCCATCCCTTTATTCCTTGGTTCAGTACCCGGGATGACCATGAAGTATAAAAGTCTATCTTATTTTTCCTGCTGAAACGGGACTGTAAGGGGGTAGGAGTATATC